GAAACCTCCTGCCACCGAGTGAAATGATGCTGAAATGCAGCATCCATTGCCCTGCTGATCATCTTAAGGTTTTCTATTTGCCCCTTATCTTTGATAAGATAACGAGCCTTGTGGATAAGGGAGAAGCGGTGGATGTCATATACCTAGACTTTAGTAAGGCATTTGATACGGTCTCGCATGATATTCTTATTGATAAACTAGGCAAATATAACTTAGATAGGGCCACGATAAGGTGGGTGCATAATTGGCTGGATAACCGTAGTCAGAGAGTGGTTGTTAACGGTTCTAAATCCTGCTGGAAAGGGATAACAAGTGGAGTTCCTCAAGGGTCTGTTTTGGGACCCGTACTATTCAATATCTTCATCAATGATGTAGATATTGGGATAGAGAGTACGCTTATTAAGTTTGCAGATGATACCAAACTGGGTGGGGTTGCGACTTCTTTGGAGGATAGGGACATAATTCAAAATGACCTTAGCAAGTTAGAGAAATGGTCAGAGGTAAACAGGATGAGGTTTAATAAAGAGAAATGCAAAGTGCTCCACTTAGGAAGGAACAATCAGTCCCATACATACAAGATGGGAAGCGACTGTCTAGGAAGGAGCATGGCGGAAAGGGATCTAGGGGTCATAGTGGACCACAAGTTGAATATGAGTCAACAGTGTGATGCTGTTGCAAAAAAAGCAAATATGATTCTAGGTTGTATCAACAGGTGTGTTGTAAGCAAAACTCGTGAAGTCATTCTGCCGCTCTACTCTGCACTAGTTAGGCCTCAGCTGGAGTACTGTGTCCAGTTCTGGGCGCCACATTTCAAGAAAGATGTGGAGAAATTGGAAAGGGTACAGAGAAGAGCGACAAGAATGATTAAAGGTTTAGAGAACATGACCTATGAAGCCAGGCTTCATGAACTGGGCTTGTTTAGTTTGGAAAAAAGAAGATTAAGGGGGGACATGATAGCGGTTTTCAAATATCTAAAAGGGTGTCACAAGGAGGAAGGAGAAAATTTGTTCCTCTTGGTTTCTGAGGACAGGACAAGGAGTAATGGGCTTAAAGTGCAGCAGGGGAGGTTTAGATTGGACATTAGGAAAAAATTCCTAACTGTCAGGGTGGTCAAATATTGGAATAAATTGCCAAGGGAGGTGGTGGAATCTCCCTCTCTGGAGATATTTAAGAACAGGTTAGATAGACATCTGTCAGGGATGGTGTAGGTGGAGCTTGGTCCTGCCTTGAGGGCGGGGGGCTGGACTCGATGACCTCTCGAGGTCCCTTCCAGTCCTATGATTCTATGATTCTATGAATATCCGGAGGATGGGAGGTAGAACTGCAGAACAGAAACATACATGAGGAAGAGGGGACATATAGCCCCTACATGGGAGCACAGAATTTGCCAAATGGAACATAGCTCTATCAAGTGTGGTAATATAACACCAGCAGTAGTTAATACTGAACGTTTCAGAGGACAGTCAGCCCCCACCTAAGAGTGCACCAAAACATTGGGCTGGATTCTTTAGACAATTTCTAAATGATGCAGGGTACAGCTAGCCAAGTAGATTATGTAGCTCAGGCATCCACAGAACCAGAAGCAGTTTTAGAAAATGCTCAGATGAACCTTAAAGAGTCTACTCATCGCAGTCAGTCTTTCTGCCATACTTACATCATCATTGTAGCCCATGTGCATTCCGCAGTCTAGCATGACATTTTTCCCTGCAATAGACACAAGGATGCAACTCCGGCCCACATCCTGGCCAGCCCCTGGAGCACAAGAAACAAAGACAGCTGCATCACATGTTCATATAACCTCTTAAACCTTTATAAGAATCTATAGATTTGACGCTCTGGGAAAACACTAGCTAGATGAAGCTCAATACCCCTGTTAAAAAGGCGAGTATCATTTAGGAATGTAAAATCCTGATTAATCGGTTAACCAGCTAAACGAGGTCCCAGCCTCAGGACTGCTAAAGCCACCACCAGTGGCATGAGGCCCCCAATCCCAAGGCTGCTGCTGCTACCACCACTGGCAGCAGGCGGCTTCTGGCCCCACTGAGGCAGACCTTCACCCATGGCAGGCTGCAGGCCAGGGGCTGCTCCTGGATACTAGTTAACCAGTACCCAGTAAGCATCACCCGGTAAGATTAACCGGTTACCCATTCAGATCCTTGGTATCATTATCCTCATTTACAAAGGTGGGAAAACCCAGGCTCAGACAGGGAAATGACTTGCCCAGTGGCACACAGTAAATTATTGACAGAGATGGATTAGAATCCTGGATTTCCATCTCCTATAGTCACTCCTCTATGCCATAGTGTCTTGTGAAAGCGCATCTATCCATTTAGCTCCTGGCTTGTCAGTTTCAGACCAGAAGACACATATCAGTAGAAATGCTTTTTGTTATGTAAGGAGATGTCAAAGAGTTTCTCACTAAAACTGCTACCATCTTTCAGAATCATCCTCTGTATACAGACTACACACAGAGCCACAGCCCTATAAAATAACAGCAACCATGATTGAATTTGTGTGCTCCATAGGACAAAGTCCCCCACTGAATCTATGGCATTGTTAAAGAATTAATACTTTGCACACACTGTGCTAATATGTATGCAGAAGCTAGAAAACAAGAGGCTCATAGCACATTCCAACTTCAGTAGAAAGAAACATTTTTGGGGTTGGCAGAAAATAGTGTCTGCCAAATTCAAAACAGGAAATAATAGTTTGCACTCGTCTAGCTCTTAATCTACAAAGCAGCTTATACAAATTAATTATTCCTTTCACCATCCAAAAGCAAGGTTAGCAACATGTTTGTGTCTTCATGTTTGCAAAGCAAGATTAAGATCACCTAAAGAGAAAACAAATCTGAATGCAGCATACTAATTACACCAACGTAACATAGTAACATGTAAGTGCAAGTATGAGACTGTAATGAGCTCTTCTAGGCTAAAACATAGAACGAAGCATGAATCTCTTACTATCTGTATTGGAAATATTTCTAACTAATTTTAATTCCTTTAAGGCTCTATCACAGCATCCAAACATTTTCTACTATTCTATCGATTTCAGCTCCGTTTTGTGGTTTGAACTTACCCAAGGGGGTGACTTTTATTTCAGGCATTTTAAGCACAGAATAACTTTTTGAACCGTGTATAGCAGGCTACTTCAGAGATGCCATAACTGAAAAAAGGAAAATTCAGCCTTTCTTCAAACTGCTGATCTATTTACTAATATCACACAGAAGAGTTCAGCTGAGGACCCATGGCTTCCTAGAGTGAGGCAAGAATACAGAAAAGAAAAGGGTCAGCTAGCTTGCACGTTATAAGAATCATCTAAAACTGCATGCCTGTCTCCAGTATAATTAAGGCTAAGGTTCCACCAAAACATAAGCTGGTTTCCTTGGCAGCATTATTACAGTGTTTTACAGTTACCTACTCCAGGATTGATGGGACCACAGAGACTAAAATAATGTTGATTCAGTTGAAATCAAAACGTTAGGAAAAAGTTAAAATTAAAAAACAACAAATGGTCTGGCAGCACTTTATAGACTAACAAAACACGTAGATGGGATCATGAGCTTTCGTGGGCACAGCCCACTTCTTCAGATGAACGGTTTTATTTGTAATTTTTTGACATTAAAAATGAATGTTTTGATAAAAACTGAAATGCCCTGTCACAACAACATACAACAACCCTTTCCATTTTCAGAATACAACGTTGTGAGATTGTGGTTCCTAAAAATTCTTTCGGAACAAGAATAAATGTTTATTTAAAACATTGTAAACCGTTCAGAGAGGCCGAGAACAGAAAATTACAAAACAAAATGTTCCAGTTGACCTGAAACCAGAGTGGGGTTTGGGTTTTTTTAAGTTATTTTGTGGGAAACATGGAAGAGTGTTGTTTTTATTCGGTCTCACAACACAAAGACTTCATAGGAAGTTCCCCGACAGCAGAGACACAGCCCCCACCGAGCTCTAAGGCCTGCCCAGCGAAAGGGGCGTATGCCGGCACTGACTGCAAGGAAAGAGCCCCTGCCCGGCACCGGGCACCAGGCCCTCCTCGCAGCCCGGCGCCCCCCCCCCTCCACAAGTCACCCCCCTCC